CAATTCTTGTCACTTGATCACCATATTCATCAGCCGGCTCTACTGGATATCGGGACATAAGATCAGCATCACAATTACACTTGCCTTTCTTGTGCTTGAGTTGAATGATGTTGTAGGCTGATAGTTCTATCAATGCTAAATCACGATGATTAGACGACAATGATTTACGACGTATATCTAATGGTTCTGTTATAAACTGCAATCCATTTCCATAATTTTTTAATGTAACAAAACAATGTGCCATATTAAATAATATTCTAGCAATATCTGGATGATCTTGTGGCAATTGTTTGACTTGTATATATAATGCCCTTAAATAACTAACAATAGCTAATTCATCTCTGTTATTCTCTATGAACTTGTGCGCACGGGTTCCAAGATCATCACTATCATTTACATTTGATCGTATATAAGTCAATTTTGAATTTACCTCTTCAATTACTTTCGGGACAGAGATTGTCTTAGTCTGATTATGTAGACTGTTCACTGACTGCATCAATTGTTTCGCTTGAAGATCAATATTACCTTTATGGTTGCTTTTTAGTCCAGCATAACAGAGTCAAGTATTACAATCATCTGAATGCTGCGTTAAAAATAGATCAAAATATTTTTTACTACGATCATAATCACCAATACGATAGAGTAATTTACCCAGATGGTAAAATGTTGGACAGTCAGCAAGCTGTTGTTTTCCTTGCTAAAACATTGCTCTGAAGTCCTGATCATCATCACTACAGATATTCAATGAAAAAATCCATACGTTATCATCGGCGTTGAAAACAAAACTGTTTATTCAAAATACACTTCCCACCATAAATAATATTTCCTCTTCATCATGAAAAAAACTCAATCGCTGAATGTCAGCATACGGTTTTGTACTTTTAACATTTCGATCAATATTAATCTCAAATAGAATCGGTACAATATTATCATAATCCAATATACTTGCATATATCAGTGCAACATCACGACTTTTACTCCTTGAAAAAAATGAATTTATTGATAAGTATTCACCATTTAAAGTTCGTATACGATCAAATTCACTTTCAGTAATTTGTTGACCACGATAGAATTTAGTTTCAGAACAGTTAGCATTTTCCGTAGGTAAGTGTTTGTTCATATCCTATATGAACAAAACAAATTTAATCAACATTTCAACATCTCGTAATCTTAGTGCTTGGTTTAACGTACGATAAAGACATATATTGCGTGCATCTTATTGCCTCGGTTGCACGGGTTTAGACCACATCGAGGATGCGTCGACCAAATTTTTGCCATTCGTCAATTGATGGAGGAACGGATCCGATGCAGAAAACGAACGGTCATCGTCTTCATCGATTTCAAAGTTAACTAAGGCGACGTCGCCTCGCCGCTGCTGTTCAACATTGTGATCCACGCCATAATGAGGAAAGCGTTCGAAGGTAGACAAGGAGTACAATATGGCGAACGCAACTCTGTCACTGATCTGATGTTCGCGGACGACAGCGCCATTTTTGTCGAAACGGATGCCGAAGCCACCGACATCCTCTACGACATTGCTCGCATTGCGCAGTCGTATGGTTTGAAGATAAATGCGGATAAGACCAAAGTTATGACTACGGATGGGTCGCAAGCTAGCGTCCACCTCAACGGAGTCCAGATCGAACAGGTGCAAAAGTTCAAATACCTGGGATCGTTGGTTCAAGAAAGGAAAATAGCATCCGGTGCTGAGGTTCGGAGTAGAGTTGGTCAAGCAACAGCAACATTTGCGTCGCTCAGATGGTGTCTATGGAAGAAGGCAAACATCTCCCTGAAGACCAAAATCCGCCTTTTTCGAACACTCATCATGCCGATTGTCCTGCATGGGTCAGAGACGTGGACGCTGCTCAAATCGGATGCGAGTAAGCTTGAGGTGTTCCAAATGCGTTGTCTACGGCAAATCCTGGGCATCTCAATTCGGGATCGGGTACGTAACGACACAATTCGAGCGAGATGTGATAACCAACCAACAATTGAGGACCAAATACAGAAGCGACGATTGCGCTGGTTCGGACATGTATGCAGGATGAACATCAATCGGCTACCTCACAAACTGCTATGGCGAGAACGGCCAGCAGACTGGAGGATTCATCGGACGGCACCGAAGAAAACGTGGATCAAACATATTGACGAAGATCTAAAGCTCCAACGGATTTTCACGGGTGGGGCCAGGGACATCGCCACAGATCGCCGAAGATGGAAGCAAATCGTGAATGACTCGAGTCAACCAGCGGCACCGACAGCAGCGTATTGGTTACGGGGAAGATCTGCTTATCAAGCGCCAGCTACGGAATAAAGAAGAAGAAGAGAAGACGAAGCCTCGGTTGCAGAATACGCTTTCTCAAATTCACATATTTTACGTAGTTCTTCTTTGTCATTTCTATCATTACGATCGTAAACACTAATTGACACACAATCGTGTAATCTTTCATGCAACGCAATTAAATCTCGTGAAAGTTTGCTCAATAGAAACAACTGAAAGAAGTTTAGGAAAAATCTCCAACTAACTTTCAAACAAGTCGTCTAACGTTAAAAACTGACCTTCCAGACTTTTTCGACAATTCGTAACGTTTTCTGTAAAGCTGGTAGACAAAACCTTTTTGAGCTAGATATTCTTTACAGCATCCAATGATATGACTTTGTGACGCAGAGATTTTAGCATGCACTTGAGAAGCTTCCAAGGCAGTTCCATGAGTCAGGTTTGTGGCGGAAAGCTAAGAGTTTCAGAAAATAATGCAGTGCTTGCTGTACTACAAAATGGCTGACTTGAAAATGTTCTACTCCCTCAAAAAAAACATTTTTGCTTCTCAAAGCAGATCCCTATGTTTTACCATGCCCCATTTTATTGTCCATTCATCTTTTTTTCCTCTATCACACCATAGATAAACACCAACTAACCGACGAAATTTATAGTGAATTGGAACAACAGTTGGAACAAAATATTTAGAAACAATAAGAATAAATAACGTGAATCGTATCGATTCACTAGGTCCATTGCCTGTAAGTCCACTGAGTGTATTCTCGGAATTAATATTCATTGTGTTGTAACTCGATCTTGCTACTACAGAATTGAAGCATATATGTTTCGCGATGAGAACGTGCATATTTTCCATCTTAGTTTACAGAACCACTTGCTTTAGCTTTTCACCGGTGAGAAAC